CTACTCCAACACCCACCACCATAAAGCACTCTGAATTGTTCAATTGAAATACTCACTCACTGACTCACACCGTTAAGCCTGTTATGCTGGCAGTAATTGTTCATACTCACAGCGGGAATCAGGTAAACACTTTAGTATCATCAAATTATAATGATTACACATTTTCATAAGTGATGACACATCTCGGTGAGGGCTATCATCACCTCTTGAGTGAGACCCCACGCTTTACGGCTACACGGCATGGGGATGCTGGTGACAGGAGCATGCTTAGTACTTACTAAGGATGCACAGGTTGTAGGGCCATGTATTAGGTGCTTGAAAGTTCATGATAAAGACCAGCTATCTTCTGGTCTTTATCTTCTGGGAATATCATTAGCAAAAAGCATTTATTATTACACAGAAGTGGGAATCTGACTGCGATCCAAGCCAGGGATCAAACACTGGCTGGCTATTAATTCAGTACAAAGGAACAGAAGAATATGGAATACTCTTTTCTAACACACATGGAAGTGTAGCAAATAAAGAGAGGAAATATAAAGTGAACATTAGAGACAAAAATTGTATATAGTCAAATGTCAGCACTACAAAATTACAGAAAGATTGGAATGGCTTATGCTAAAAACAAATTTTTTTGTTATATTTGAGAAAAATATTCACAGTGCTCTAGTTACTAAAATTTTGAGTATAATTCATGGCAACACAGTGTTTCTTCAGTAAACATGAAAATGATGCTATAGAATCTTTAGTCCAACTTACATTTGATAGTAATGAAAGGTTTTTAAAAATGCATCTTCTTTCTCTTGACCAAGGGTGCACATCTGTGACATGATTGGCTGGAGTTGAGGATACAATCTGGGTCCACACAGACCAGATCAAAGCTAACTGGACTTTGTGGAAAATGAACTCATGACCTAGACCTCATTAGTCATGATCTAACCAACTGAGCTAGTGGGCCATAGAAAATATATGCTGGCACTAGACGTTTACTTTTAATCATTTCTGCACTTAAATGGGCCCTATAATTTTAGAGAGTCAACTTTAGAGATACTGTTTTTCTAAGGTTTTGTGAACGAATTAATTTATTGATCACACATATACCTATTATGTGGAAGACCCTAAGGTCAGTGGTGGGGGAGTTTAAAAATGCACAAGGCAATATGCAGAATTTAGAATGAGAAATACAGGAGAAAAATGTAAAAAAAGAACTAATAGCACATAATTTTACAGCAACAACTAATGTTTATCGAGTGTTTACTATTTCTCAGATGCTACACAAAGCATTTTTGAGAAGCCAACTATCTTCCTTTTATAGATGGAAAAAGTGAAGCAGGTTATTTTTCTTTCACCAAGTCACACACTTGTCATCTCTCCACCATACCTTGGACCCATGATAATTGACGGTGATAGATACTGTAGAGTTAACTCTCTCAACACCCATTTCAAAGCATTTTTTTTTTCTATTTATTTTTCTGTGAGAAAGATCAGCCCTGAGCTAACATCCATGCCAATCCTCCTCTTTTTGCTGAGGAAGACTGACCCTGAGCTAACATCTATTGCCAATCCTCCTCCTTTTTTTCCCCAAAGCCCCACTAGATAGTTGTATGTCATAGTTGCACATCCTTCAAGTTGCTGTATGTGGGACGCGGCCTCAGCATGGGCGGACAAGCAGTGCATTGGTGAGCGCCCGGGATCCGAACCCGGGCCACCAGTAGCGGAGCGCGCGCACTTAACCACCACGCCATGGGGCCGGCGCCTCAACACTCATTTCAACTGCCTCTTTCCCTTGCCACCTTCTACTATACCGACATGAAAGCTACAAACTTGAATTCCCAGATTTCCCTGCAGCTCACCATTACTATGTGACATAGTTATGGCCAATGAGATGAAAGCAAAAGGGAGCTGGGAGTTTCTGGGGAAGCCTGTGCATGCGTGTGTGTGTGTGTGTGTGTGTGTTCGTTCCACACAGCAAGAAGAGGAAAGGTGGAAGAATAGGCTTTTTTTTTTTTTTTAAAGAAAACATTATCTTTATTTAATCGCCTTTGACATTTAAAATACAACTCATTGAACATCCACATTAACAGCAGAATCCAATCCTCAGTGTTCAACAATGCTTTGAAAGCCTGGCTTTCCTAAGCAGCAGACAGAAAGGCCTGTGTGTGTAACAACAGCAACAGAACTCAGAGAGAGGCACACCCACAGAAGTGCTGCAGCCGGGTCCTGAGCAAACGGCACTGCTAACAGTGCACCTCATCATGGCCCAAAAGACAATGTGTCTTATTTCAGGGGTTTTTTGTATTTGAATTTCAAACAGTTTATTTATATAGAACAATAATCTTTAAAAACTTACTCCTGGTAGTCCAGTGCTGTAGAAATTGCATAATCACATTTCAAATGTAAGTTTTTCTCTTTCAAAAAAAAAAGCATTAAAAATAATTCCTGGAAATATTCACCTTTGAACTATGTAAGAGACAACTGAAGTGATTGCTAAATGAATCAGGAATTTCCACATGTATTTCACTATGTTTGGACTTTGTGTACATATATTTATATATCTATATATATATGTGCATATATATATATATAAAATTTCCATGGTGCATCCAGTCTAGCTATGCTCCCTCTGCTACACGCCAGCTTGTAAGATTTTCTCCAGTAAGGCTTATTATATATTTACACCATATAGTGCTAGTGATTTGCATAATATGCTACCTCTGGACTTCTCATTACCTGACAAAAATAAAAGCCCTAATTTGTTTAAACCTCTATTTGTCAGATTTTCTTGGATTCTCAGCTGATAGAATGCTGTAATAAATGTAAGATGAAACGCTATGGAAATATACAGCAGAGTGGTAACTCAGCCTTCTAGTGGGGGTGTGGTAAGGCTTTACCTAGGATGCCTTTGAACTAGGAGAACAAACTAGGTAGGAGACGGTACATGCCTGAACAAAGGTACAGTATATAATGACTTTACTCTGAGGTTCTTGTGACAGATACACCACAGACAAGGATAAAATGACAATACGATTGAGTGACCTCAAACAGTGCCTAGAAATTCATTTATTTTCCCTGATAGCATAAAGGTCCAAGCGGCAGGCATCTTTTTTCTTCGGTATAAATGCCAAGAGTAATTTGGATTTATGGTAGAGATTTCAAAAGCAGGCTCCAGGAGGCCCTGGCCCTACTCAACAAACAGGTAAAAAATACTCACAGCATGTCTAAAATTTGTAGAGTTATAGATTGACTGGAGTAATGGAAATTTATTGACCCTTTATTATGTGCCAATCACTTAGATATAAATAAAGCAACAAAATGACAACAGTTCCCATTCAGGGAGAGTTCTTCCTAATATAAAAAATATAAAACATAGCACCATGCTGGAAGTGAAAGTGAGGGTACAGTGCTGTCCTTACTCTGTCCTTACCCCAGAGAGGAAGGATAAGTTAACTACAGAGGAGAGTCAGGATCCATGTCAAAAAGGAGGGGGTGATGTGTCAGTCTATAACGATCACACCAGACTGGGTGTAGGGGGCTGGGAAGAAAAGAGAGAAGGCAGAGAATAATGATATTCCAGCAGAGAAAACAAACCACATGTCCAAAAATACAGAGGCAAGAAAGGGTAATATTTGGGGAAACAGGCACAAAGTTGGGTGTGCCTAGAACAGGTGGAAGATGATGAAGCTAGAGAGGTAGCAATGCAGAGAATGCCAAGGCAGAAAGTTGAATTTTATTTTTAAGTAATGAAGGTTTTAAGGCAGTGTGATTTGGAGAGATTCAATGTCCAAAAGCGATGAGAAAAGACAAAAGAGTCAGGGTCAATGAAGAGCTTTCAGTTTTGCATCATCTACTATATACCAGGCTCTCTGCTAGTTGCTTTAAATATACTTCGCCAAATCCTCACAACAGCCCAATAAGGGTGAGATTATTATCCTCCTAGTTCCCAGGAAAGAATAATAAAAAGTTCAGAACAGTTAAGTACCGTGACCATGATTATAAAACTAATATATGGTTAAACCAGGATTCTAAGTTGTCTAGTTATAATAATAATAGGTAACCATAACTGAACTCTTTCTATGTACCACGCATTCTTCTGGTGTTAGATTTATTGCAGTGGAAAAAAAAAAATAGAAGTTTCTGTCCTTGTGGAGCTTACAGGTCGATGTCATGGGAATCTATGAAATCACCCACGGAAACAGAAGGTGCAGTAAGAGTAAAGAAAGCAGAGGCTATTAACCTGGGGCACACCAACATTGAAGGGAGACGGGCAGAAAAGTCACTAAGAGAATCTGAATTCATTTCAGGTAAATCCAGAGATCCAATAGATTGCAAACAAAAACCCAAGTGGTAAATGAAAACAGTCCTGGTGAACTGTAATGGTTCTTAGTCCCTTTATTTATAATAACATCCTGAATCTTAATCCAAAGTGGCTGAAAAACTCAGATGAAATTAATTTACAAATTTATATTATTGTTGATGCAAAGGAGATGAGTTGCGGGGGGAACAAGTTCAGATAGGAAAATAAGATTAAGTATCCGGTACTTTTATGTGGGGTAAGAACATCCTTTAATAAATGCAACAACCACCACCACAATGAGACTCCTAATATACTAGTTTTATATTAGTTTACAGACAAATATATACACACACAAATTCACCTTATTTAAAAAAACAAAAAGCATAGGTTTTATAAGGTATTATTAAAATATAGAAACTACCACCAAGAGGTATATGTTTTTATCAACCTACTGAAAATGATTAAAGGGCAGAGCAAGAGTAATAATTTAAAATATTCTACTGGGGTTAAATGAGAGAAAAACGATCTCATGTCCTTAACAAATACAGACAAAGCTCTAAACATCAACTTAATTTCAATAACTCTGTTCTAGTAAAAAATTACTGTGAAAACAAGGAAACAATTTGAGAATGGTGGGATGTGTCAGAAAGTACACTATTTTTCTCTAACCGAGTTGGGGAATTACAAAGACTCCCACTCATGCACTTACATTGCTCCATTGGTATAGACAGTATCACTTCCTTCCACATACTGCACCTGAGCTGGATAGACATGCTGCACCTGCTGCACAGTCTGTACCTGCTGTACCTGAAAAACAAATATGAGGACCTTGGTGAGAGACAGATACCACAGAATGAATACACAGCTTTAGATTTACCTCAAAAATTTCTCTAGGGTGTTGATAAACATAAGAATGTCGTATGATGAAAACTATTAGATTCATGCTAATTTCAAGATAAGCGCATGTTGGGTCCAAATCAACTGTAGCATTTACGCTGAATAAATTCTATAACATTCCTGTAGGTATATATGTATACACACATTTCACCTGGTGTTTTAAAGCTAAATTTATTTTTTAATTTAAAAAATTTATGATGGAAAATTTCACACACTTAAATGTAGAAAAAATACTATAATAAACCCCATGTACTCATCATCCAAGATAAGTAATTGTCACCAGACCTCCCCCTTTAAGCCCTCACAGGATTATTTAAAAACAAGTGCAGAGCTTCTATCATTTCACTGATAAATATTTTTCATTTCTAAGAGATAAGAAATATTTTTAACATGAATGCAATACTAATCACATATAAAACATTAACAATTCCTTAATATTATCTAAAATCCAGTGATTGTTCAAATTTCTCTGATTATTCCAATGTTTTCTTATAGCTGGTTTGTTCAAATCAGGATCCAAACAAGGTCTACATGTTACATTTGGTTGATATTGCCGATCTTTCTCTTTTAATCTCTAATAGTTTCCAGTCCTTTTTATTTGACTATTACTTATTCAAGAAACTGGATCATTTACCTTGTAGAATTTCTAGAATTCTGGATTTGGCCGATAGCATCCCTAAAGTTATTTACTAAATCCCTCTTACTCTGTATGTCCTGTAAAGTGACAGACCGAGAACTTTGAACAGGTTCAATTTTTAAAAAGCTGTGTACTTCCTTTTGCATACTATCAGTTGTCATATCACAACTGGTTGTTCTCTTTCTGCAATATTAAGTTTGATCAGTGAGTTCAAATGTTGTCAGCTGGATCCATTTATTGTAATGCTTCCTATCCATGTTTTTAGTCATTGATGATCATTTTCTAGAGATATTAGTTCAATTAATAAAGGTTGCAAACTTGTGGTAGCCTGATTCTGTTAATCCTTCTTATTAATAGACTTCCATAAAGAAATTCTTCCATTAATTATTTGGTTACTTTGACATAAGGTTTGTACGGGAAAAGTAGGATAAGAGTAGGATAAATTCATGATTCATTTATTTACCAGTAATCAAAATAATGATTTTATCCCCTACCTCCCTCCCAAAGTGGCCAATGTGGTTTTTAGTTTGGTTTGGTTTGTATCCTTAAGATTCTTGGCTTTTGAACGTATTTGATGTTTTTCAATCACAGCAGTATTTTTTTGTCCTAAAATTGTTCCATCTTTGACCAATGATAGTCCCTTCAAACTGGATCCTGTATCTTTTGATATGACCACAGTAATCTTTCTTAACTCCCCTGCTTTCTGTTATAAGATATTCCAGACCTATCTTTCATACTTCCTGTCCTAGATCTAGAATTAACCATTTCTTCAAAAGGCCCTGGGTCTTATTATTTAGAAATAATATAAATATGTAAAAACTGTTTGGGAAGGCAATTTAAAAACAGGCATACAATTTGACACGTTTGTAATTTCTTCTACAGAAATATTCACCATCTGCAGGGTTGCTGTACAATATTGTAAAAAATACAGTTTATAAGAGTAAAAAGTTACAAGGGAAAACCTTAATGACTGTGAAAAGTAGAGTGATTAAATAAATTATAGGAAAACCATTCTGTAGAATATATAGCTGATGTTAAAATAATAAAGTAAGATTGATATGTACTTTAATAGCAAGATCTCTAAGACATATTATCAAGTGAAAAAGTATGTTGCTGAACAATACTTACAGTGTGATTTATGTTTAAAAATATGTATACATCTGCATATATGTGTACATGTGTATACAAATGTATAAAGTATATACAGGAGAATAGAAGATTGCATACCAAACTTCTAAAAATGGTTACTCTGTTGACTGACATGAGATGGGAGAGGTGAGGTGACTAGCATCTTTTATTCTGTGTATTTATATTACTCTCGGATTTTTAAAATGAAAACGAATTCATATATTATATATATTATAATAAATATAAATTTAAATAATATTTATAAAATCAATATATGGAAGGACTTCCACTTCTGGCTGTGATGGAGTAAATACGATGCAGGGAAATGTCTTCCCCACACTAAACAAGTAGAAAACTGGACAAAATATGTAAAACAATGTTTTTAGTCATTTGACAAGAGGCATCATAAGACTGGGTCCTTAGAAGAAGGAAACAAACAAGGCGAACCCCACAATGATCCTGGCTTTTGACCTAGACGCAGTTTTCAGACTGCAGAGCAGGAAGGGAGAAACCAAGTAGAGCACAGTGGTCTCACTGAGGTGAGGAGACAGATGTTGAAACTGCAGAGGCTGAGGCAGCTGAAATTTGAGGGCAGTATCAGAGAGGGTGTTAAGCAGAGACGTAGATCCAGACATATTCACAGAGATCCCTTAAGTCTGATGCTGAATACTAAGCTGCACATGTGTAGGGTGCAAAGATGCTCAAGTTCTCACCAGCCACAGTGATGACCATATTGAACATCTAGGGCATTCTGTAGAAATCCCAGAAAAGTAACGCCTTAGTAGTAGGGCTAAACTAATTCTAGAACAAAGACTACTCTGGCGCCTCCTAACAAAGCTAAAAAACAAGGCTTCAAAAGATTAAGCTGATCCACAAGTAACTTAACTGCCTATACAAAACTAAATCTAACACTTTTAAAGGAAGATAGCAAAATCCAGACATACAAAAACCACAAGAATCATAACATCCAGCATTCAAAAAAAATATTAGACATGTGAAGAAGAAAATGTGACCTATAACCAGGAGAAAAATCAATCAACAGAAACAGATCTAGAAGTGAGGATATGAAGTGACAGACAGAGACTTTAAAACAACTATTCTAAATAGACTTAAGATTTAAAGGAAAACACAAACATGATGAGAAAAAAAGAAAGAGGGTAAACAAACTAAGTAGAATTTATAGAGTTGAAAAATACAATATTGGAAATGAAAAATTTGCTTAATAGGATTAAGAGCAGATTACATAATGCAAAAGAAAAGACAAGTCAATTTGAAAACCTAGCAATAAAAATTATCTGAAGAACAGAGACAAAAAAGAAATAATGAGGAATAGAGAATCAGTGAACTATGGGGACAATATCAAGTAGTCTAAAATAGTGTAATTGGAGGCCCAGAAGGAGAAGAAGAAGAACAGAAAATATACTTGAAGAAAAAGTGGTAGAGACTGTCTCAAATTTGACTAAAACCATAAACACATAGATCTAAGAAGCTGAACATATACCAACGTATGGATAGAAAACCACACCAAGGTGCATCATAATTAAAGTGCTAGAAACCAGTAATAAGGAGAAAAATTTTTAAGCAGACAGAAAAAAGACACATTATACACAAGGCAACAAGTACTAGAATGATTAAAGACCTGCCAGTCAAAAATAATGCAAGCCCAAGACAATCAAATAACATCTTCAAAGTAGTGGGAGAAAAAAAATTGTCAACCTAGAATTCCATAACCAGTGAAACAGCCTTCAAAAATGAAAGGGAAATCTTTTCTCAGACAAAAGCAAAGAGAATTCTTCTCCAGCAGACCTCCAGTGAAGGTAATGACAAAGGAACTTCTCTGGGCTGAAGAAAAATAACACCAGATGGAAATTGGGGTCTATACAAAGAAATGAGAAGCACTAGAAGTGGTAAATTCGTAGGTAAATTAAAGGGTTTTTCCTTTGTTTTCTCATCTTTTAATTTCTATAAAAGATAATTGACTATGTAAAGCAAAAATAACAACAATGTATAATGGGGTTTAATACATACGTAAAAGTAAAATGTAGGTATGACAAAAATAGCACATAAGATGGGAGAGGGAAATGAAAATACACTTTTGTAATATTCTTATATGCTAAGTAGCATAATATTACTTGAACAGAGTCAAGATATATACTAAATATCACAGAACAAACATGAAATAAAAAAATAGTATAGCCAACGGTGGAGATAAAATGTAATACTAAAAAACACTCAATATATCCACAATATATTGTGGCAGAAATAGAGGCAATAAAAGAAGAAATGGGACAAAAAACAAATAACCAGATGCTAGAATTAAATGCAATCTATTGATAACTATATTCAACGTACAAGATTTAAATCTTGATTGTCAGAATATCAGAAATAGAGAGAGAGGTTAAAAAGAAGAAGATGTGAAAAGACAGGCTTTGCAAACACCAATCATAAGAAAGATAGAGTGGTTATAAAAATATCAAAGTAGACTTCAAGATAAAGAATATTACCAAAGATAAAGAGGGAAATTTCATCAAGAAAATTATCAAGAAGAAATAATAAATTCTACATGTCTTTGCATCTAAGAACAGAGTTTCAAAATACATGAAGCAAAAACTCTAAGAATCGAAAGACAAAATAAGCAAATCCACAGTTACAACTGTAGATTTCAGCGTTCTTCTCTCCATAATTGACAGATGAAATAGAAAATCAGTAAGGATATAGACATTACCCACCAACTTGATCTAAATGACTTTTACATGATGATCCATGTAACAACAGCAGAATACACATACTTTCCAATGCACATGCAGCATGAAAATTCAAACATTAAGGAATAAAACAAGCCCTAACAAATTTAAAAGGATTAAAACAATACAGATCATGTTCTCTGACCAAAAAGAATTAAATCCAAAATAAAAACCAAAAAGATATCTGAAAACTCCCCAAATATTTATATAATGAACAATATACTTTAATATAATCTATGGTTCATATAAATCCAAGGGATATTAGAAAATATTTTGAACTGAATGATACTGAAAATACAATTTATCAAAATTCGCGGAGTGCAGTTAGAGCCATGCATAAGAGGGAAATTTATAGTTGTAAATATTTTTACTAGGAAAAAAACCCCAATGCAATAACCAAA